ACTAGGCGTCTAGTAAGCGATAGCTATCGCTTACCTAGACAAAGGCCGAAGCACCACAGACACACTTCAAGCACAAACTCGTATTTGTAAATAAATCTAGTTAGAACGGCCTCGGCCAAAGTCTTACATAGCCTCGAGCTCACTAGACTCTAATGGAACAATAATACAACGACTACATCACATACGTGCCACTTACATGACACGACATATACGCGACACATACACATAGCTGAAACTAAGCAGTCACCTTCTCAAAACCACTTTATACTTATCACTATATCCCTGCGTATACCGCGTACAATCCCCCTTTTACGTTTTTGTCACTTTCCATTACTCTCCTCACAACAGCACGAACTTGTATCCTTGACCAAACACCCAAGCAAACTCCAGATATATCCCCCCTTGCTCTTCTTGCGCCACATACGCCCGCTATTACTACCCACGACTCATACCACGCACCACCCCTGCTGCTATTGCTTGCCCCCCATGCACATTGCACACGGCTCTTCCACTTCCGCGCCTCCGCTGCTCCCGCGCTCATCACCCACCCACACCCATCCACCCCCCGGCCACATTAGTCGAAACAATACAAACCAACAGCAAAGGTGAAACACCAAACGCGAAACAATAAAAAGTATTGAAACAGCCTTCCCGCCCCTCCCCAGTCCCCGCCTTTTTCGCGCACGGGTGCAAGCACGTAGGGATGGGTGATGGACGAAAAGGGGGTTGGGTTCAGGTAAGGGAGGGCAAAAGTTATTCGTCCTACCACTAAGCGGCTATTTGGCCTACCACTTAGCAGGGGTCTGCATTAGTAGGCTTGGCTAAAATACTAGTAGTATTTTATATTACTTACTATAATATAGCTATGCTATAGTAAGTTCTAGTATATAAAGATAGCTAGTATATTAACAAAAACTTAATAGTGTTACGTAGCTAAAGTAAAAGTTATGAAAGTAAAAAAAGTTAAGGCTTAAAAACTAGCTATACTGTTATGGGCGAGAGAGGCCTAACTAACGAGTATGCATTCACCTATTATACAGAAAAAGAAAGATATAGAAAAGAACTATCTAAAGAGCCCTCCTTTTATAGTTGTTACTTGTATAAACGCTTAGACCTTTAGTTTTTTTTTACTTAAGCTTGTTTATACGTAGCTAACTACATTATTTAGTTATATAACTAAAGTTATGTGATTTACTACTATGTAACCTATAGGTTATACCTTTCTAGCGTAGCCCTTTATAATACTCTTGTAAGGGGCTGCGCTCTAGGGAGCAATCGCGAGGTATACAAGAGGTTGTATTCGATAGAGAGCTATAGAGTCTACTTGCGTGGTGTTTATTTACTTGTCGGAGAAAGGTTGCACCGAGTGTCTGAGCGCGTCGTCTGGGCGCCGCTCAGGCCTCGCACAGATGCCGGGTTGCAGAGTAAGACCTAGCGTCTGCTGCTTGACCGAGATTCCATCAAGGAGCTATCCAAAGGGCGTTCAGCCCGTTACAATACCCCCCTCCTTAGGGTGGTACTGCGTCGCCTCTTCGAAACCCCTCTGGGAGGCGGCCCTCGCTGTCTCGCGCAGCCTCCGTGAATGCTTCCCATCGGTCCACTGCCTCAACGTCCTCTAGTAGTTCTGCTGGTTCGAGCGTTGTTTGGTGGAAACCTTTCCACTTCACCTCGTAGTATAGCTTATGCCCTCTCCCACGACGGCGTACCTCCTCTGCTACAATTTCTTCTACTTCCCATTCATCTTCTCTATCTACCTGCAGCGGCTGTGGCTAATAGTCGTCCTGAACCTAGTTTGGGAGCGGATCGTTGCTAGCAAGTTTCAACCTATCGACATGGAAAACAGGGTGTGGGCCTGGGGGCGTGTCTAGTTGGACTGAGTGGCTATCGATTACCTTAACCACTGTGTACTTAGCGTTCTTCCAGTCGAGCTTCTTAGAGCTTCGCCCTGTGCTGTACTGCTAATCGAGCTTCAGCCATACCTTGTCGCCTACTCGGTAGCTCTGCGCTTCTCTCCGAGTCTTGTTCGCCTATCTCTCTTGTTCTTGTTAAGCAACTGCTATGCCTGCTTGGGCTAGTTCTACGGCTTGTTGTAGCTTAACCGCGATCTCTGCTGCCTTCTGCTCATCCAAAAGCTGTTCGGCTGGTTTCCGCTGTTGCCTTTCATTGTCTAGCTCTAGCTACAGCGGCTCCACTTCGTGCCTATGCTGTAAGAAGAACGGTGACATTCTAGTCGACGTTGCGTTTCTACCATTGATCGCGATCTGGGCCATCGGGCAGAGCTGTGCCTAGTCATTCTAAGCCTAGTTCGTGAACGTTCGGATGTAGGTCTCCTAGACGCTGTTCATCCTTTCTGTTGCACCGTCCGTCTGTGGGTGGTAGGCTGTCGACAGTCTCCGTTTGATCTTCAGAAGCTCGCATAGTCTTGTCCATAGTGCACTCACAAACTGGCTGCCTCTATCAGAGGTAATAGCGTCTAGTAGCCAGTGATATGCGACTACACGTTCGATGAACTTTCGAACGACGGTTTCTGTCTTTGTATCTGGGAGCGGTACGAAAATCGCACCCTTACTAAGCCAATTAGTGATTACTATTAAGCTAGTCATGCCCTCACTCTCTGGTAGCCCTTTGACGAAATCCATAGAGATCTTCTTCTAGATCCGGGTGGGTATCGGCAGTGGTTTTAGAAGGCCTTGCGTGCCCTCTCTCCAGGACTTGCTCCGTCCACAAGCGTCGCAGTTTCTAACATATCTCCGGATCGAGTTGGTCATGCCTGGCCAGAAGTAGTCCCTTGCGAGTATCTTGTACGTTAGCTCGCGTCCTGGGTGGCCAGTGACTAATGAGTCGTGTGCGCCGCTGATGATTGCCGTTCGCAATTCGTCGTTGTCTGGCACCCACTTGCGCCCTTGGTAAAACAGGACTCCGCCGTCCGCTAAGCAGTCTTTGATTGAGCACTTTAGGCCTAAGTTCGCAGGGAAACGTCGTTCTTGGTCCTCTACGGCCTTCTTCGCTCCCTGGTAGACCTAATCCTTCACTGTCGCTTCTTGCCAGAGCTTCTCCAACTCGTTCTGCTCCGACGCTTCTTCGTCTGGTTCTCTAGGAGGTAGTTGGCCTAGTTCTTCTTTAGCTAGGGCAACAGCCTCTTCTTCCCGCCGTTGGCTTCGTGTTTTCGTGGCTATTACTAAAATGGCTTCTTCTAGTTCCTCTTCTAGTTCTTCTTCTGCTATCTCCTGATAGGAGTTTGTTGGCTTAAATATTTGCACGAAACGCTTCTGCAAGCGCTCGTCTTCTGCCCCTGCAGGCAGGTCTTGTTCTCTTCTCGAGAGCGCGTCGGCTCTCACATTCTGCTTGCCTGGCCGATACAGCAGCTCTAGGTTGTACCTACCAAGTAGAAGCGACTATCTCACCTGGCGCTCGTTCAGCATGCGAGGTTTCATGAAGTACTCTAAGTTCTTGTGATCT